GCAAGCTGTGAGGTGTTGTTTGATTTGGGGTGTCGTTCTCCTCTGCGGTGGGATTTGATCCTTGTTACCTTCAGCTTTATGAGGCTGAGGTTTAGTTTATGATGTTAATAAAAGAAATGACTGCTGCTAATGCTAAGCATCTTTCGCACACGTGTGTCTGTGCGGGCTCAGGAGGTGTTTAACGTGTTCCTCTGACTGGCTGAAGACCCTCAGCTGTGGGACCTCATCATGTTCTTGTGTTGTTGGGTCTCCTCGGGCCATTACATGAGGTTCAGGCTTTGAGGGCCGGTTGTTGCCGTTGACCTAATGACTCAAATAAGTCTGTGTGACCTCGTCAAACTCCCAGAGGTGCTTTCGGAGATTTAAAGTTGTGTGAGCTAGGGATGGGCATTTTGGGAAATTTCTCATTTCGATCATCCATATGTTTCAAAAACGATTAATCGAGTAATCGGGGGCGAGGCTTGTGCGGGGGGCGGGGCATGGCCGTAATGGATATAATGAAAAAATCTGAAGATTGTTATGAAAATGAATGTTAAAAATAAAAATATGACATGAAAACCTGTCTATGAAAACATGAACACATGATTAGGACATGTTAGATTTTGATTATGATGAAGCAATGTTATTAATAAAGAAGCATCTAAAAAGGAATAGCTGCCTGAGGTGAAGAGTGACTTTATGCCAATAAACTGAATCTCATTCTATGACACATCCTATGATAAATCAGATAACTTCGATACATAGCAGACGTAACATTACAACTTGTATCTGCACAATAGGATGCTAAGTTATGTGCTAGACAGAGAAAGAGAGAGAGAGAGCGAGCTCCCGCCGTGATGCGTTTTCATGACAGTGCGCTGAAAGATGGGCAAGGACAGAATTTACTATAGATTTCTATAAAGTTCTCATTATAAATGTATGGCAGATTTGTGCTATATTTTCATCTACATTATTAAGTGTAATAGTTGTAATTAAGTTTTATTTTTAAGTTATAAGTTTTAAGTTGTTTAAGTTTTATTTTCCATAAATCCATAAATCGCCTGCGCGTTTTCGAAGCCATATGAATTGAATTATACCCACAAATATGAGGAAAAAAAGCACGGCTGCATTATTATAACATCAGTAATAATAATAAAATAAAAAAAAAACATCTAAAAGCAATATAATCATTATCGGGCATTGCATTTGAGCATGAAACTAATCACTGATATGCAGCGCTTTCAGCATGTAATGTTCATGTTAATTAATCAGATGTAGGCTAGCTATTACAACTTTCATCTGAAAAAAAATTTGCCAATGCAGCTGTGAGCTTGACTGAAAGTGTAACACGAAAGTACAATAAATTCACATTCTTAGACTACATTAGTGTCACTGTTGTTTTTTTTAATTTATTCTAATATTTCAGCAATATTTTGGATTCAATTTGCACTTTCTGATCACGTCTGTAACACGTACTGCACTGTGCATTTCCCATTCAGCAATGTAATGGCAAGTTAGTGTTATGTAGGATTCAGTGGTCAGCGAGGTCCATGAATCGGTAGTGACAGCCACCCTCGCTGTCTTTGGCAGTCTGTCCTTCAGTGAAGAAGCAGTCTTTTCATATAAAGCATTTATTCTTGCTGTGACTGTTTTGCGTGACGGTATGTCATACTCGGGCTCAACGTAATGCATGAAATCTTTAAATCCTTCTCCGTCGACGAAACTAATGGGCAGCAAATCTTTCACCACCATTTCAGCGATTAGCTGTGTCGTCTCCTCGGTTCTGCCTGCATTGCATTTTGGTCTTACGGCAAATGATGCAATGCTCGTCTGAGTTGCCGCTCTGTTATCGCCAGACATTTTATGTACAAATGTTAGATGATAGCGCATTGTACTTGTTGTAGATTTGTGTGACAGCTTGCACTGAACTGTATTTTCATCGGTCTTCTCAAAGTGAAGCCAGACATCACTACGTGACTTTGAGGCCATGATTCTCTCTCTTCTCACGACTTTTGATGCATCCTGTGGCAAGCTAACCAATCAGAGCTCATGGCGCCGCCCAAAGTGCTGCTATAACCAATCAGGGAAGAAAAAAAAAATTCGTTTATTTTTTATAATATAAAAATATTTAAAATATATTTCAAGTCATGCCCTATATTTATTTTTTATATTTATATTTATTTTCATATTTGTTTACATTAAAAAATATATATATTTTTAATGTGATTTAAAAGCCCAGTTTTCATGATCAAGTCGATTCCTAATAAAATCAAGTCATGCATATTTATATTTATATGTAATAGTTTTCATTTTTTTAAATCAAATATTAACTTTAAAAACCTTCAGTAAATATATATATATTTTTTTTTTCCGTTTTTTTTCTCCCACATATTTTCCTTTAATTACCTGTTTGTCATTATAAAAATAGCCATGGTTGTTGACGTGAAATCAAAAATTACACACTGCATTTTACATTTTACAGTATACTGTATAAATCACACTTTGACTTTTTTTTTTTTTCTTTTAAAAATAACAAAAAATCACAAACCTATTTAAAGGAAAATTTCATAAAAATACTTGTCCTCATGTTGCTCTAAACGCGTTTGACTCAAAACATCATGGGAGCAGGCAAAACGTGATTGTTCTGACAGGCTGAAGTGTTTCTGTCATCAGTCCCGCATCGTGGTTGTTGTTTTAAAGGTTTCAGCCGAGAGCAGAGCGGGTGCTAATCTGACTCAGGAGGAGGAGAGTACATTAGTTGAGTTGGTTTCCTAGCAGATGTGAAGTGAAGAGAACGACAGCTATTCATGCATGGCTGCGTAATGCCTCATATACACACCAGGAAATAAGTGCTTCTTGTTCAGACACATCGAGAGCAAACGGGCTCCACGCCAGTTCACTTCATATCAGTCCTATATAGAGTGCAAGGTTAGAAATAGTGTGGCCCAAATCACAGTATGGAAATATTGGGCACTATGATTTTTATTTATATGATTTTTGAATTTTTGAATTTTTCAGTTTTAATTTTTCTGGATTCCGTTTTGATCTTTTTCTTTTTGGACTTGTTGGGGTTTTTTTGTATTCTTTTTTTTTTTTTTTTCTTTTTTAAAGAGTTATTTATTTGTTTGTTTGTTTAGAATATATATTTTTTCTTTTTCAGTTTAAATTAAATGCTGGATTCTGTTTTAATGCTTAAATTAAAATTTAGCGATTTAAAAAAAAAAAGTAATTACTTGAGAACATGAAACTTATTTAACAAATTAAATTTTTAGGGGCCCTAAAATCGGTTTAATTTTTCCCCAAATTCAGTTTGAACTTTTCTAGATTTGTGATTTATGATTTTAATATTAATTATCAAAAACAATAATCAAATGAAGGCATAAAATATTAATTTCACTGCATTTTTAACCTTTTAAAAAGTCATTTTAATTTCCTTTTATTTGAAATAGTTTTAAATTAAAACATAATTGAACAAATTGTGATATTTGAAAAATAATATTAAACTGTATTATTTATGATTACTGTCAGAAGTGCATTCTGCTGTACAAAAGTAATATTTGTATTGCTACCGTCATTTCTTCATGTTAAACCAAACTTTTATTTTGGCAGCTTGTAGTGAAGATCGTTGCTTTGTGTGTGTAGCTGACAATAGTTTTCTCAAATGAAATGGTGTAATGCTGATGAAGTGACTCTGGAGATCATGCTTTCATGTCCTGGTTTGTCAGGTTTTGAATGCGTCTAGTTGGAGTTATGTGGAGTCTGGTGACATGTTCCCTGTAACCTCTGACCTCAGATCAGTTTTATGTGTGTGGCAGCGGAGGGCTTTAACAGACTGAGGAAGGGATGACTCACGTCTCTGGCTCTGTTTGTTGGGAAGGTCACGCTTTGATGGCCGCAGATGGATGTTTGAAACACTGTCACTCCTGATTCGAGTTTAGATCCAGCTTAACTGATGCGATCAGCTTTTAATGAGGAAAGTGTGCTGTGAGTTTACAGTCTGTCGTAACAGTGTCTGTCTCTCATTTTGTTTTTCCGTTCCTCTTATAGCAAAGTCCAGTGTGTTTGAGGTGTATTATAATGGCTTGAGATGTTTCAGCTCCTCTGGGATCGTTCATGAAAAGAGGCCAGATTTGGTTGCTTTTTTTCCAGCTGATGTCACTACCCTGTCCAGTCACATGACTCCGTTCCACTTTTCACAATCCAGTCAGTTCTTGATGGATAAAATAAAGTCCTGCCTTATATTGAATTTGTATATTTATCTTTTTTTATTTCTTTTTTTTTAAATTTTTTTTTATATTATGGAACTTCCAGTTTTCATGATCCAATTGATTCCTGATTGATTAAATCTGTTCCTTCCCTGTATTTATTCTTTATGTATTTCACAATCCAATCCTTTTCTAATTGACAAAATCAAGTCCTGCCTTATATTTAATTCTTATATTTATTTTTTGTTATTTATATATATGTATATGTATATGTATGTGTATATGTATGTGTATATGTATGTGTATATGTATATGTATGTATATGTATATGTATGTATATGTATATGTATATGTATGTATATGTATATGTATATGTATGTGTGTGTGTGTGTGTGTAAATAGGCAGGACTTCAGTTTATCAATCGAAATTGATTGGATTGTGAAAAGTGAAAGTTCCATCACAGAAAAATTATAAAAATGTAAAAAAAAAAAAATCATCATGAAAATTACAAGTACCATCATAGAAATTTTTTTTTTAAATACAGATATACATAAAACGTGTGTGTGTATGTATGTATATATATATATACACAGTATATTTAATAGTTTTCTTTAAGAACTTTAAAAAGGGAAAAAAATGAAAACTTCTGTTTTTTTTTCTTATCTAGTTTTTTTTTTCATATTTTGCTTCATTTTGCATCATAGCACAGTCCATAGTCACATACGCCACATTTGAAGTCTTCACCTCACTTGATTTGAGCCAGAAACAGACTGAAAGTGAAGTCTTAAATCATTGATTGTTTGTGTTTGATGCAGCTGACAGAAGGAGGAAAGGCAGCAAAAGCCAAGATCAGCGTCGGGGACGTCGTGCTGTCTATCGACGGCATCGCCACAGAGGGAATGACACACCTGGAAGCCCAGAATAAAATCAAAGCCTGTACGGGAAACCTGAACCTCTCAGTGCTGAGGTAAAGCGCGCGCACACACACACACACACACACACACACACACACACACACAATCGCTCACGCTCACTCGCTCACGCTCACTCGCTCACGCTCACTCGCTCACGCTCACTCGCTCACGCTCACTCTCTCGTGCTCGCTCATGCTCACTCGCTCACGCTCACTCGCTCACGCTCACGCTCGCTCACTCGCTCACGCTCACTCGCTCACGCTCACTCGCTCACGCTCACTCTCTCGTGCTCGCTCATGCTCACTCGCTCACGCTCACTCGCTCACGCTCACGCTCGCTCACTCGCTCACGCTCACTCGCTCACGCTCACTCGCTCACGCTCACTCTCTCGTGCTCGCTCATGCTCACTCGCTCACGCTCACTCGCTCACGCTCACGCTCGCTCACTCGCTCACGCTCACTCGCTCACGCTCACTCGCTCACGCTCACTCTCTCGTGCTCGCTCATGCTCACTCGCTCACGCTCACTCGCTCACGCTCACGCTCGCTCACTCGCTCACGCTCACTCGCTCACGCTCACTCGCTCACGCTCACTCTCTCGTGCTCGCTCATGCTCACTCGCTCACGCTCACTCGCTCACGCTCACGCTCGCTCACTCGCTCACGCTCACTCGCTCACGCTCACTCGCTCACGCTCACTCGCTCACGCTCACTCGCTCACGCTCACTCGCTCACGCTCACTCGCTCACGCTCACTCGCTCACGCTCACTCGCTCACGCTCACTCGCTCACGCTCACTCGCTCACGCTCACTCGCTCACGCTCACTCGCTCACGCTCACTCGCTCACGCTCACTCGCTCACGCTCACTCGCTCACGCTCACTCGCTCACGCTCACTCGCTCACGCTCACTCGCTCACGCTCACTCGCTCACGCTCACTCGCTCACGCTCACTCGCTCACGCTCACTCGCTCACGCTCACTCGCTCACGCTCACTCGCTCACGCTCACTCGCTCACGCTCACTCGCTCACGCTCACTCGCTCACGCTCACTCGCTCACGCTCACTCGCTCACGCTCACTCGCTCACGCTCACTCGCTCACGCTCACTCGCTCACGCTCACTCGCTCACGCTCACTCGCTCACGCTCACTCGCTCACGCTCACTCGCTCACGCTCACTCGCTCACGCTCACTCGCTCACGCTCACTCGCTCACGCTCACTCGCTCACGCTCACTCGCTCACGCTCACTCGCTCACGCTCACTCGCTCACGCTCACTCGCTCACGCTCACTCGCTCACGCTCACTCGCTCACGCTCACTCGCTCACGCTCACTCGCTCACGCTCACTCGCTCACGCTCACTCGCTCACGCTCACTCGCTCACGCTCACTCGCTCACGCTCACTCGCTCACGCTCACTCGCTCACGCTCACTCGCTCACGCTCACTCGCTCACGCTCACTCTCTCGTGCTCGCTCATGCTCACTCGCTCACGCTCACTCGCTCACGCTCACGCTCGCTCACTCGCTCACGCTCACTCGCTCACGCTCACTCGCTCACGCTCACTCTCTCGTGCTCGCTCATGCTCACTCGCTCACGCTCACTCGCTCACGCTCACGCTCGCTCACTCGCTCACGCTCACTCGCTCACGCTCACTCGCTCACGCTCACTCTCTCGTGCTCGCTCATGCTCACTCGCTCACGCTCACTCGCTCACGCTCACGCTCGCTCACTCGCTCACGCTCACTCGCTCACGCTCACTCGCTCACGCTCACTCTCTCGTGCTCGCTCATGCTCACTCGCTCACGCTCACTCGCTCACGCTCACGCTCGCTCACTCGCTCACGCTCACTCGCTCACGCTCACTCGCTCACGCTCACTCTCTCGTGCTCGCTCATGCTCACTCGCTCACGCTCACTCGCTCACGCTCACGCTCGCTCACTCGCTCACGCTCACTCGCTCACGCTCACTCGCTCACGCTCACTCGCTCACGCTCACTCGCTCACGCTCACTCGCTCACGCTCACTCGCTCACGCTCACTCGCTCACGCTCACTCGCTCACGCTCACTCGCTCACGCTCACTCGCTCACGCTCACTCGCTCACGCTCACTCGCTCACGCTCACTCGCTCACGCTCACTCGCTCACGCTCACTCGCTCACGCTCACTCGCTCACGCTCACTCGCTCACGCTCACTCGCTCACGCTCACTCGCTCACGCTCACTCGCTCACGCTCACTCGCTCACGCTCACTCGCTCACGCTCACTCGCTCACGCTCACTCGCTCACGCTCACTCGCTCACGCTCACTCGCTCACGCTCACTCGCTCACGCTCACTCGCTCACGCTCACTCGCTCACGCTCACTCGCTCACGCTCACTCGCTCACGCTCACTCGCTCACGCTCACTCGCTCACGCTCACTCGCTCACGCTCACTCGCTCACGCTCACTCGCTCACGCTCACTCGCTCACGCTCACTCGCTCACGCTCACTCGCTCACGCTCACTCGCTCACGCTCACTCGCTCACGCTCACTCGCTCACGCTCACTCGCTCACGCTCACTCGCTCACGCTCACTCGCTCACGCTCACTCGCTCACGCTCACTCGCTCACGCTCACTCGCTCACGCTCACTCGCTCACGCTCACTCGCTCACGCTCACTCGCTCACGCTCACTCGCTCACGCTCACTCGCTCACGCTCACTCGCTCACGCTCACTCGCTCACGCTCACTCGCTCACGCTCACTCTCTCGTGCTCGCTCATGCTCACTCGCTCACGCTCACTCGCTCACGCTCACGCTCGCTCACTCGCTCACGCTCACTCGCTCACGCTCACTCGCTCACGCTCACTCTCTCGTGCTCGCTCATGCTCACTCGCTCACGCTCACTCGCTCACGCTCACGCTCGCTCACTCGCTCACGCTCACTCGCTCACGCTCACTCGCTCACGCTCACTCTCTCGTGCTCGCTCATGCTCACTCGCTCACGCTCACTCGCTCACGCTCACTCTCTCGTGCTCGCTCATGCTCACTCGCTCACGCTCACTCGCTCACGCTCACTCTCTCGTGCTCGCTCATGCTCACTCGCTCACGCTCACTCGCTCACGCTCACTCTCTCGTGCTCGCTCATGCTCACTCGCTCACGCTCACTCGCTCACGCTCACTCTCTCGTGCTCGCTCATGCTCACTCGCTCACGCTCACTCGCTCACGCTCACTCGCTCACGCTCACGCTCACTCGCTCACGCTCACGCTCGCTCACTCGCTCACGCTCACTCGCTCACGCTCACTCGCTCACGCTCACTCGCTCACGCTCACTCGCTCACGCTCCCGCTCACTCGCTCACTCGCTCACTCGCTCACGCGCTCACTCGCTCTCGCTCACGCTCACGCTCACACGCTCACGCTCACACGCTCACGCTCACTCTCTCGCGCTCGCTCATGCTCACTCTCTCACGCTCACGCTCTCACTCGCTCACGCTCACGCTCACTCGCTCACGCTCACTCGCTCACGCTCACGCTCACTCGCTCACGCTCACGCTCACACTCACGCTCACACTCACGCTCACTCGCTCACTCGCTCACGCTCACGCTCACTCGCTCACACGCTCACGCTCACTCGCTCACTCGCTCACGCTCACTCGCTCACTCGCTCACTCGCTCACGCGCTCACTCGCTCTCGCTCACGCTCACGCTCACACGCTCACGCTCACACGCTCACGCTCACTCTCTCGCGCTCGCTCATGCTCACACTCACTCGCTCACGCTCTCACTCGCTCACGCTCTCACTCGCTCACGCTCACGCTCACTCGCTCACGCTCACGCTCGCTCACTCGCTCACGCTCACTCGCTCACGCTCACTCGCTCACGCTCACTCTCTCGTGCTCGCTCATGCTCACTCGCTCACGCTCACTCGCTCACGCTCACTCTCTCGCGCTCGCTCATGCTCACTCGCTCACGCTCACGCTCACACTCACGCTCACGCTCACGCTCACACGCTCACGCTCACGCTCACTCGCTCACTCGCTCACGCTCACTCGCTCACGCTCACTCGCTCACTCGCTCACTCGCTCACGCTCGCTCGCTCACTCACTCGCTCACGCGCTCACGCTCGCTCGCTCACTCACTCGCTCACGCGCTCACGCTCACGCGCTCACGCTCACGCGCTCACG